TTGCTTTGAGGAGGAACCATTATAATAAAATTGGAGACAGCTAGAGAGTTAGCTCAGCAGCAAAGCACCTGCCTGGAGAGCACAAGGTCCTGAGTTTGATCCCTGGTACAAAAAGTTTAAAAAAAAAAACTGGAGATTCTGTAGAAACTTGTACTTGGACACTTTAAATCAGAAATAGCATTAAAGGAAAAAACCGGTATATAAAAAGGAAAAATAATCCCATGTAACAAATTTTATTTCTTTGGTCATTTTAATCCAAAATATATAAAACATAGAACCTGAAAAAAAAAAGAATTATCTCACTTTCCCTTAGAATCACTTTTCTAAAACAGCCAAAAGTAAGACCAAAGTCTTCAGATTTCGTAAACTGTGATTTGAGGGATAAAAGAGGGGAGATGTTGGCCGAGGTGGAGGCTGGTCTTGTCCAAAGCAAGGTGTCACATCTGCAGGTGACCTGTGTGTTAATTCACGGGACAACCACCCTCCACGGCAGGGCAGGGAAGGACCATGTGGAGACGTGCCAGCCATGAGGACGGGTCCCCAGGCTCTGCTTTCATTTGCTTTTAGCCACCATCGCCCAGGGAACCCCAAGTAGACAAAGCTAAAGAGCTGTCATCACCCCATGCTGTCACATGGCAAGACTGCCCTTGTGGGGAGGAGGTGACCTCGGGAAACTTGCATTGCAGATCTGACATGGCAGACCTCAGACTGCCCTCAACACTAGGATCCCGAGGCTTGGATGGATTAGCAAAAGCAGTGGGAGAGGAGCACAGAGAGTTAAATGAAAAGTAAGGAACAGAACCATTCTGTCCCTCAGTCCTTCGGTCCTTGCAGCCTGTGTGGGGTGGGTGGTGGGACCGGCTCCTTGTAACATGCTCAGCCCCTCCCCTTCCCTGCCTGTGGGGACACGGCTGGCCCTGCCCAGTGACAAGGTATGAGAGCGACCATCAAAGCAGAAGCTCTGCCTCACCACAACCTTAGCTGATTAATAAATGTTTATTCTTTGCACATGCACCCTGGATAATTAAAAAATAAATGAGCGGGAATAATCTGCAGATGAAAGAGCCTGGTGCAGAGCCAGGCCTGGCAACTGTCCTTGGGCTTCCTCCAAGCAGACGTGAGCCATCACTGCCCAGCCACCAAAGGAGACCTAGGTTTGTGGAAAGGGCACAGAAGCCATTCTTACAAACCAGGCAGCAGTGCCACTAAAAGTGAGTGAAAGCAACTCCACTGCAGGATATGCACCCGAAGGCACTGAAAACCAAGGTCCAAAGAGATTTATTCGGCTCTGCATGCTGGTCCTGTCACTCCCTGAGTACCCACATTCACAGCATTACACAGAATAGCTGGCTCAGTCTGGTTTCTGTTGCAATACCTGAATACCACGTCATGTGTAATGAACAGAGGTCTATTTAGTTCATCTTTTTGGAGGCCTGGAAGTCTCAGAATATGATTCTGGCATCTGTTTGGCTTTTGGTGAGGGCAAAACCCTTACACAGCAGCGGGCATCACACAGTCACAGAATAGCACACGAGCTCAGATCTCTTCTCAGAAAAGCATGACTACCCTCATGGGGACTCATCCTCATGCTTAGTCCAATTCTAGTTATCTCCTTACCTTCTGAAGGCCATTAACAAACAACACTTCCAGCACATAAATTCTGAGAAAAATTTCAGCAAACCACTGGCCAAAGGCAGACACAACCCAAGTGTGAACCAATGATGAGTGGACAACAATATGACACACGTGTGTGCAAGGAACATTATTCAGCCACAAAAAAGGAAGCAGATGCTGGCACATGCTCCAACATTGATGAACCTTGAGGACATTATGGTATGTGAAATTAAGCCAGTCCCAGAAAGACAAGTCCTGTATGATTCCACTTCTAAGCAGGGGCCTGGAGTAGTCAAACTCAGAGACAGAAAGGAATGGGGGTTGTTGCACAGGGACAAGTTTTCAAGATGAAGTTGTGGAGATAGATGACAGTGACTTATGACAACATGAATATACACAGAATTATACACCTAAAAATGGCTTCAGTGATAACTACAATCTTTGTATTTTACCACCCAAAAGGAAAAGAAAAATATTGGAAGGAAAACCATGTTGATGGAACTCCCAGAATCAACGCTGCCCTCCACGGCACACAGAGGTGCTCAAGCTGGGAAAAGGCCTCTTGCTGAGTGGCCCCAGGCCTCCAACACATGACAGAAAGCACAAGTTCAACAAGAACCCAATGCAAAGACTCTGCTCAAAGCATCAGTAAAACAACTCTTGCTTTAGAGCACAGCTGGTCTCAGGGACAAGGTAGACGGGGTTTCCTACAGATCAAGAAGCCAGCCTGACAAAATGGAACACAGGTCCCAAGACATCCTCCCAACCAGCAGGGCCACCGTGGAGCTCCCCAGGATTGGGGTCAGCGAGATCTGTTTCCCTGTGGCCAGCAGGAGAGAGGCTCGGCCCAGTGCTCATGACCCTGCCAATGACCTTCTGTATGACTCGTCATGTCCCCAGACCTCTTGGTTCTCGGGAACAAGCTGTGGCAGCCCTGTCCTACGGTCCTTTGTGTGGCCCACTTGTTGCCACTTGGCCTTCCAGCTATATGAAGACCAAAGCTGAGATTTCAATAGGAAAGGAACATCAGGGGTTCATTTGGGTAGGAGTGCGTATCTACCCAAAGACACTCCTACAGTCCCTTGGGGCCCTCTCAGCAACATCCAAAAATGGGCCAAGAGCCACCTGCAGGCTGGGTCTACCCACAGGACTATTATCTTCCACCTTCCTCCCACATGAAGGCCCTGAGCACCCCTGACTCCCTCCAGAAGGCTTCAGGGCACAGCCAACTCCCTTCCTGGCACTCAGCTCCCAGCATCCAGAGTTTGTCACCCCTGGCACACAAGGGCATCTGCAGCCTGGGCCAGCAGGGGCTTCCATCTGCCCCAGACCTCATGAGCTTGGTTTCACCTGGCCCAAAGGCCCTGCAGATCCTAGGGACCCAGGCCTGCCGTCTCCCACCCCACAACACACCCACTGCTTTGAGGCCCTGCAGAAGCTCAGGTCCACTTGCTGCCCCACCATGGACACCATTAAACCTTGCCCCTCTCTACTCACTCCCATCACAAGCAATAGGACCTGTTACCTGCTGCCAGGCACAAACACTCGGGTGGCAGGGGCTCAGTCCCTGACTTGCAGGTGAAGAGCAGGCTGGCTGCACTCTTTTCCTCTGCCCCCCTGGACCCGACTCCATCCTGTGGGGTTCTCGCCCTCCCCGTGCACCAAGACCACCTGCAGTGGCTCTTTCTACCTCTTCCTTTCCCATTCACGTTCTCCCCTCGACTTTCCACCTTCAACAATCCCAATGCTACTCTACCAGGCAGCACCCGCCTTGCTAACTGGCCCTCCCCGCACCGTCAACCCTTTCCTCGGGACAACCTCCCCCCACAGTCCCTCCGTCCACAGCCCGGGGCTAACGCCCCACAGGCTGTCTTTAGCTGCCCTCTTCGCCTCTCCAGATGCCCCAGTGGGAAATGCTGGCCATGTCCACAGCTTGCACTACCAGCTCGGAGCTGGAAAGTCCCCAGTTCCTATTCCCAGCCAAGTATGCCATTGTAATCGCTCGCCTAGAATTCAGCTTGCTAGAATGGAAATTTTCCCCAGGACCCCACATACTCTGCTCCTCCTTTTCTCCGTCAGTGCCCCATCATCCACCCAGGCTCCCAGCTTTAAGTTCCCATTTCTGCCTCTTCCTCCTGCATGTCCAACCTCCCCACCCCACATCCTGCCAGGTGCCTGTCCCCACTGCCTCCCAGGACCTCCTCTAGCCCCACTCCTTCTTGGTTCAGACCCTCTTCTATACCCACACCATTCCCAACCTTTCTACTCCCTGCTCCCTGCTCCAGTCCACCCACACACAGCAACTGGTGGTACTTCCTCCAACCCAGTTCTAGAAACACTGCTCCCCTCCCAGGAGGGGCCTGCTGCTCCCTGGAGTAAGCCTTGCCCCTCAAGATGCTTTACTCGCCCTTCCATCCGACCCAGTCCACACACCCACCCACACACCCTGAAGGATCCTGTGCTCCATGCCCCCTAGCATGCCACCTACCTGCCCTTCATAGAGCTGCTAAACTGATGCCTTACATTTGTGACACCCACTATGTAACCTCCCACCTGCACTCCCAATTTATGCAGCACGTGCTTCCTAAGCTAGGTCTGCTCTTTCGTGACACCTCCATGTTGCCAGATGATCACCGGCCAGTCTCCTACCTGGACCCCAGCGGTCCCTGCATGTGTTTCTATGGTAACATGGATGCTTTGCTCATCTGTAACACTACTGCTGGCTTCCCAGGGAAGGAGCAAGTCATTTTTGCACTTATATCCCTGGTACCTAATGCAATGCCAAAGGCTTCCGGGCTGCATGAATTTGCTTACTGTGCAGGGGAATCACTGGGTGAGGTCCAGGGCTTTGAAAGATACTTTAGTGGGCCATCTTTAAGGTGGCAGACCCTCCCACACCCACTCAGGTAAAGGAGGCTTCCCTTCACCCATCAACAAACCAAGTGTAGACACAGGCTTCACTAATTCCTTCCTTGGTTCCCTCGAATTGATCAGTTTCCCAGCTTCCTGCAGGCTCTAAGGCACTCGAGAAACTTTTTCATGAAAGCTGGATTCTGATTCCTCCTGCTAGATTGCTGATTGCTTAGAACCAGACCTGGGACTTTAGCTCTGACCACTCTTGGCATGAGGCTCGTGCATCTCAAAGGTCTTAAGGGTTCTGGTAATGAGCGCTTGGGCCACCACCACCAGGAAGATTTGCCACCGAAACACTGCAGGGCACACACAGCCCGCTGCATGCAGCAGTGCCCATGGCTCCACCTGCTCCAGGGTCCAGGTTTACAGTGCGACACATACCGTCCCCTAGTCAGTTGCTACCTTGCCTGACAGGAGGGTGTGGCGCCTGCTCCCAGAGCATTCATGGAGGAGAAAGCAGGGCTCGAACTCACCATATTCATGACGGTGAGGATGAACCTCTGCGCAGCCTCCGCCCCATGGTACTGCACCATGTTGGCATCCGCCACCACCAGGGTCTCCACGGTGTGCTCGCCAGCGAGCCGGATGGCGTTCCTCCGCTCCCGCCACACCTGGGATGGCCTGGCGTTTCTGGGTGTCTTCTCTAGAAAACAATGGAGACATTTTTGCAGTCTTTGGCCCACTGATTACCAAAACCAAATCCCTCCATGAAGGCTCCCAAGCACAGGCTGCCTATGGACCTCCGTGGTCACATGGGCCAGCCCGAGTCCACTGGCCAGGGTTGCAGGAGGGAAAGAGTTGGGGAATCCGGACATCCAGTGAGGCTTACCCTGTCCATCCAGGGAGGGGAGGAGGCTAAAGATGCCTGAAGTGAAAGCTGTCCCTCAGAGTCCCCACACTGGGAGCAGGGGGAACAGGAAGCCTGAACCCCAAGATGGGACCTAGAGCTCCTTGGGTCAAGGATACAGAAACAGGCACAGCACTGTGCACCCCTGCTGATGCGTGAGGCCACAACATGTGCTGGGGGCCATGTTCAAAGTCACAGATGAGGAGCTGGGGTCCCCGGCTGTATTTTGCAGGCTCTGGTACAGAAAGAGCTGCATGTTTAGAATGGCCTTAAAACCACTGATAGAAAAAAATTTGAAAATTTAAATACAAAGTAAAAACAAGTAAAAATATCATTTAAAAAATCATACACATCCAACCTAAATGCAAGTTCACCCTTCCTTACAACAGGGAAAGTGGGTTAGTAAATGTGTAGAAATCTTCTGTTGACTTTCCAGATAAACTATTTCCCAGTAAGATATTACTTTGACAAACAGCTACTGTCATCAATTAAAGAGCTCAAGTCTAGGCAGGGGCCTCTTAGCAGTGCCTAGGTGTAATCCCAGCTATTCAGGTGGCTGAGGCAGAAGGATTGCACATTTGAAGCCAGTCTGGGCAACTTGATGAGATTGTTTCTAAATAAAAATTTAAAAGCGGCTGGGGATGTAGTTCAGCAATCAAATGCTCCTGGGTTTGGTCCCCAGTTGGAAAAATAAAGGAAAAAGCAAAGCCCACCTCTGACTGTTCAAAGCTGCTGAGTGAAGACGGGTGTGTCTCTGTGTTTGGAAATACCTCTTAGCTTTAGGACAGGTTGGCACGCCTGGAATGCACTCTCAGAATCCAAGTGTGAAGAGGAAGCAGCTCTTTAACTCGGGAATTATTTCCATTCCAGCAGTAGCCTACATGGATACAAGTCTGCTTCACTGTACACACACAAAAACAGTCCATGAACTACAAAATAATCTGAGACATGCACTGCATTTTGCAAATGAGAATGTGCAGCCCAGTGTAATTTATAATTATGAAAAAGGGAGAAAACAATTGAAATATTTAGCCATTGACTAAGCCAACAATGGATAAAATAAAAAAGCAGAAAGCCATTAAAAAATCACATCTGTGAACGTACACTGACCCAGATACAGATATAAATCCATACATTCAGTCAGATCCCAACTGTGCAAAAACACAACATGCACAAGCATTTTCAGACTCCAAAGATAAAAATAAACCAAGGAAGAATTAAAATATTAACAGTGGGTGATGTGTGATCTTCATTTTCCTCTTTCCTGTGTATTTTCAAAATTTATACAATGAGCAAGCAGTACTTTATTTGAAGAAATATCACTGACTTGAGAAGGATGCCGAAGTCACTTTCAAAACATTGGCAATAAAACAGAAGTGAGATATGCCTGAGGACGAGGAGCGAGGTGCACCCTCCTGCTTATCACACAAATGCAAAATGGAAAAGTGAATGTCAGTGTCTCACCAGGCACAGCTCCCGGGTCTGAGCTGCAGCTGCGAAATGAGAAGGGGACGGTCATGCCTAAGGCAAAAGGGGAGCCCCTCAGGGGCACCACCCATTGCCCATGGACAGAACCAAAGAGGCCCCTAGCTGGAAACCTAACAACCTCCACCTGCATTCACCAACTTGGTCATCCATGAATGCTAGGAAGAGGGGAGAGGAGGCAAGGTTCAAACATGGTCTCTGGTCAACCATCCCACCTAGCATTTGTCAAGAGACCCTTTATTTCCATTTGAAATAGTGATGGTCCCCAAGCAAGGGCTTTGCCATCCCCCCAAGGGACCAGCTAACTCCTTTTGCTTATCAGTCTGTATTTTGGCATCTGCTATCTAACCTTTCTCCGTCCTTTACTAGACTCCAGTGACCACCATTCCACAAAGCCCCGGGGAGCTGCAGACATGAGACCATGGACCCACATAGGTGTCCATCTGCAGGGCGGGGAGGAGGGTACGGACAGGAAGTGGAACCCAGAGTGGAACCCTGCCCTTCCTTCCCTCTCTGCTGGCTGTCACCAGTGTCTCTCACAGCCATTCCTTTTCCTAGAGAGAGAAAACCATGTGCATTTAATTCCCTATGCTGCAGAAACATGCCCAATAGTCTCAGAGATGCTGACACTCACACGTAAGTGTCTTGAAAAGAGAAAAACCACCAACCTTGAGCTCATTCAAGCACCCTTTCCAAGCTCCCTTGGGTGGTCTGAGTCCAGGCAGGCGTGTGGCCACATGGTCCCCCACGCTCTGTTTCTCGTTACTGTTCCTAGCCACTGTAGGAGGAAGAAGAGGGGTGGCTTCTCACCCCCGGAGTACATGTATCACAGCATGTCAGCCGTGGGCCGTCTGTGACTGCCACAGACACCGGGGCTCATTCCTTAAGCCAAGGGCTGCAGTCTCCTCAGCCAGCACGTGCTGGAGCGGGTGCTGACTTGGGAGATCACAAAAACCTGGCTTAATTTTTTACATTTATTTTCCCTTTGTTTCAATTCTCCACAAAACTAGACAATTTTATATATTCTATGTAAGACACCCCAGACCCTTTTGGAACAAAGTGAGGAAGACAGAAAGACAAGGTAGACACAAAGGGCATCTTAATGTATTGTAGAACATTCAAATTGTGATTTATTCTAAAAGTTTGGGGGCTGTTGAAGATGCTAAAAAGAAAAAAAAAAGGTCACTGTAGTATTAAGTTTGCTTTTGGCAAACTGAAAATTTCAATTGTGGATTTCCAAGCTCTATACACATCTTACTATAACAAGGAAACAGTACCAGGCAGGGGGTGTGGTCAGTGCTAGAGCACTGCCTGCGGCCCAAGTCCTGGGTTCCAGCCTCAGCAGCAAAGGCCAAAGCAAACACAAAGAGGTATTCAGGTCTTCCCTGGAGAACAATCGCACAGATCATCAGGTCCTTGGTGTGAAGCTCCTCCCTGAAGGCCTCTACTTCTTGCTACACATGATACCCACATCCGAGTCCCCCAGGGCCATTCCCAGGAATGATCTTTAGGTGCCCTTTGTGCCAACGTACAAGAAAAATCTCCCTCTTCCTGTTGTACAAAGCAAGTTAGAAAGCAGAGAAAAACAAAATGGAGGAAATAAAGGCAGGTGTCTGAGGACACTGAGTCTCTCAAGGAGACAAGCAGAGACTACTTCAGACCAAGATGACAAAGACCCGCGCTACCGATAGAAGTTAGGGTCCCAGGTCCAACAGGCGGAGTGGATTAGTGGGAAGACGGACACTGCATTTGAAGCCAGCGCAGGTATTTCCCATATCAGCACTCCAGGGCTGGGTACAGAACGTGTCCTCACTGTGGGCACATGAGGCATGGGACCCCCACAGCCCAGAGCCCCTGAGGAAGACTCCAGCATGAACCAAGCTTCACCCCAGATTTTCTGTGGGCAGGGCAAAGGGAACCCCATCGGAACCATAGGCCCCACTGCAGTGTGCGGCAAAGAACTCACCTTTGGCAAGAGGAAGGCCACCTGCCTCTCCTCCTCACCTTGTGGCACAGACTTGGGGTGACACTGACAGAAGTACACCAGCTGCTTGGAATATTGCACAGGAAACACAGGGACACAGAGCAAGAAAAGACCCTGAGCACTCTCATGGTTACCTCTTTCCACAGAAGATGCAAGGCACCTCACATCAAATTACAGAGGAAATAAAATCAGACAGAAAGAGAAATGAAAAAGCAAAGGAAATCATCCATCTATACCAAAAAAGGGTTAACCCATCTCAGTATAGTGATTAAAACATTACAGCATAAGCCAGCACCGTAGTACATGCCTGCAATCCCAGAACTCTGGGAGAGGCCGAGGCAGAAGGATTGCAAATTCAGGCCCTGCTGGACAACTTAGAGACTTAACAAGACCCTGCCTCAAAATTTAAAAAGGGCTGGGTTCCTAAGTCAGGGCAAAGGCCTGAGTTCAATTTCCAGGACCAGGGAGACCTGTGGCCACACCCAGAGCACTTACAGTGGGACCCTTGCCCGCCTTGGAGCCCAGTTACTCCCTGGAGCTACAGGTCAGCATAGAAGGCAGGCAGGGCCGCTGGACTCTGTGCCCAGGCCGCTATCCTGCTGACTGCAGTCCACCGCTATCTATTCTGCCTTCCACTCTCCTGCTGCCTTTCTGCAGACAGGGGTGGGGGAGGAAAACACACCAGCTTGCTGGCACTGCTGCTCTCGTCCAGAGCAAGGCAGGCTCCCACGCCCCCTCACAGAGCAGTGTTTTCCTAACACCAGCTTCTAAAATGAAAACACCAAGACAGACTCCACCAGAGCGCCAAGCACTGTCCGGTAGACAGAGGGAAAACTGAGCCAAAAAACTTCACAACAACTAACTCTTCGAAATTCCTCATTCATAGCAAGATTTCTAGTGCACTTAAAAGAACATTCTGGAGTGAGTCTCACAAGTTGCTTCCTCCACCTGAGGCGGCGGCCACCATGTCAGGGTCAGACAGGCAGCAGTGACATCTGACACGTGCCCTTGGATTTGGCCCTAGACCGCCAGGTCCTCCTCACCTGAAGAGCCGGAGGGTAACTGGTGCACCCTGGGAGCACCTCAGAGGCCTCCCCAGCCTCAACCCAGGGTCAGATACTTAAGCCCACCTCATGCTGCTGGCCTGGTTTCTGTCAGTGTTATGATATGAACTATTAGGAACTTTTTTTTTTTTATTTATTATTAGGAACTCCTACCTGGTGAACTTATTCTTTAACTGTTAGGGTCTAAATACTAATTTGAAAACTTTGCATGGCCCAGAGCCCAGTAGCAAGGCTGGATGCTTTATGCCCCTGAAGGGGCTGAT